AGCCTCATTATTTGATCACCATGAACTAGCAGCACTTATTCAGTGGTAACTTTCACCATTCCAATTTATGGCTTATTTTTTTATACTATTTCTAGGTTTGAAAAACCAATAATTACATGGCTATGGATTTCAAACATAAAGCAAACTTTAATTTCTTGCTTATCAGCAAAAGAATCTTATAAAGGATGAGTTGGACACATTTACAATAGATATAATTGTGTATCGAATATGTAACACAAACTTTATTACTGTGAAGTTGAAGTGTCTTTGGATACCCATCTAAGGCTTTTAGCTGGGGGAGTTTGTGGCTGCATTGCAAGGCCAATTCTTTCTGGATTTTGTCTCTTGATTTTGTTTTGGTTTTTTTTTTTTTTTTGTTTCTTTTCGTTTTTTTTGTTTTTTTTTTTTCTTTGTTTTCTGTTTTTTGTTTTTTATTTTGTTGTAATTTTTTGTGGTTTTTTTTTTTTTTTTTTTTTTGTCTTGTTAGTGCTACGGGACGTTTTGGTGCTCTTGCCAGGCTTCTTCACCCCTGTGGCTTTGAGGGAGAGGCAGGATGGGCAAGCATGTGGCTGAGCTTCCACCCCAACTGCCTCAGCGCCACCTTCCAAACAATGGAAAACCTTGAGAAATGTGAAAACACTACTGTCCAAGGTTTGTTACAAGTGGAAAGCAAGATCGTTCCACTTAAGAAATGATCAGTCAGCTTTTGAGTTAGATTTTAATAAGCTCTTTATTCAGATAGAATATAATGGTGGATTTATTAAACCCTACCGTCGTCAGCCAAAGAATATATTTTAATAGTTCCCATTTGCATTATTGAGAACATGTGTATTTGTCCATGGCGAACTTACATAGAAGAATTCTGGAGAGACTCGTGGAACTCCTAGTTCATGCCATGGCATGGTTTCCTGCAAAGGCAGCCATATCTCAGCCTGCCAGAGAGAATGTGCAAAACTCATGGACCACCACAAGGGTTGCAAAGCGGATGCCACTGCCATCATAGGTTTATATTCAACAGGTCCCAAAAGAATAGGGAAATATCCACAGAGTTGAAGTCTTTTTTATTACTCTGGTTCAAAGTTAAATTCTTTCCAAGGAAGTCTTAAAAAGCCTCTGATTTCTTCTCATATTCAAGTATTATAACTATAATCACATAATATTAAATATGACTTATTCATTTTTAAAAATATATATATACACATTTGGTGATTTTAAATTCAATTTTCTAAATAAATGTGAATACTAAAATTTTCACTTTGGAATTGAATGATTTCAATTCAGTTGGTTTCAGTTTGTGTATTCATGATGCAGCAATTTTTAAAAAGTGAATGGTTTCTGGGAATGTTTGTTAAATCCCATATGCAATAAATGTGGAAGACTTTTAAAATTATTTAAAATTCATTTTTTACCAGTGAGACTAAACTTCTAGGTCAAAAGATTTATTTATATGTTTAGGTAATATTATATATAGCACAGCTATTGCCAGATGGTCAGTAAAAAGCCTAACATGAGAATAATTTCATTGTTGAAATTAAAAAGAATGCCTTGATTCTGATGTTACAAACATACATTTAGGGACGTTTCAAGTAATTCTATAATTAATTTTATGTGTAGTTCTAGCTTGTATAGACACTCTATCTCAATGAAAACATTATTAGAGATTGCAATGTAACTGATTTTCTGTTTGTAGCTCTCGTCTTAAAATGACTTTTTATTTAGGAGCAATATATATAGTATCGATTGTGTAAGGACGCATTCTCCACATTATATAGCAACTTGCTTCTGCATCTTGAATATTGTAAATTTGCTACTCTCTAAAGGTACCAAAGGCGAACCAAGCCATGCCTTTGGGATTACACTCAAGTTTGGGTTAGATAAACATTATTAACCATCTTATTATGTGCTAGTTAACTGGGCCAGGTGCTATGAATAACAAAGATAAACAGAACACTTTCTGTGGTCTATAATGATTTTCAGTCCATAAGGAGCAATATTTTAAAAACAATTCAGAACAACAATAGTACATTTATAAAGTTTTGTTATACCCAGTCATTTTGGCTGAACATCTGTCAACTTTCTTTCAAGAATTCTCCCATGTGGTGTAGGATTTAACTGTCCCATTCTAAGGTGCTACCCTTGTGCTGTGAATATTATAACAAAAAAGCAAGGTTTCTTCTCTGATACCTCCTTTTCTTACATCTGAATCCCTCCATATTTAAGTTTTATGCTTTAAAAGGGTGAGGCCTCATATATTAAATCATGCGTCACATATTTTCACTTATCACCCACATAGAGTAAGATAAAACCCATTTAAAAGATGTTTAGTTTCTCAGTCTTAATACAAATTTCCTGAAAAAATTAGAGATGTCAATGTTTTAATTGAAAATTTTTATTTAAGAAAAATGCACGTGACCATGCTTTCAATAAATATTAGATTCTTATATTTGTATTGTTTTTTTTAGGTGCCCGTAGACATAAAAGAATCATTATGGGCGTGATTTTTTTGCATTTGCTGTCAGCAACCCTTATGATTAAAAAATTGCGACCTGAGTTTAGCAGGTAATATATATATGTTGATTTTCATAAACTGAGGTTGGGTTCAACAGAGAATCAAATTGATTTTATATTAAAATATTCCTTATTGTGAAAGCTGAATCTAGAATTGAAAAATGGTTTTAAAATAAAAGATGACATAATGAAGTATTTAGTTACACATGATGGTGATGATGATGATAATAATGCCACCAGCTATATATAAAGAATACCTCCTTAATTAAGTTTGATTTCCTTCACTTTGACCATTATGTTTTGCACGTTCAGTCGGAAAAGCCAAGTTATGTTAGTGAATAGCAATTCTCCTCCATCAATAAGAAAAATTACTCCACATATTTGACTGTTTGACAGGTCAAAAGCAATTATTTCCAATTTATATTCACCAGCTAATATCTTATTGACTATCATGTGCATGTGAAGTACACCATATTTTATAGTAAATAGATTTTAATATTGTCACTGTTTATTAATAATCAAGAATACATATATTGTGAATATTTTAAACAAACAAACAAAATGGTCGATGGATTAAGCTACTCCTGTCCATTCATTTTTTTATTTAATATACATATATAAATATTAATATAAATAATTTAACTATCTCATTACATTTTGGACTAACAACATATTAGCATTAAACCCTTGGATCGTTATTGGGTGGGGGAATGAGGAGGAGGCACAGAGGAGGCCTGTGGTCCAATGTTTGGAAAATGCTGGATTTAAGTTACATTTTCCCACTGCAGGAGCTCAGAGGCTTAAATGTGGATACATTTTAGGAGACAGAGCAATCTTCACCACCACATCATTTTACTTAGTAGACCTTTAGGTATTTACATTTGCTCCCAAGGAATACTTATTGACCTTGCTGGAAAATACCTGTGTTGTGAAATAGTTTGAAAAAACATCATATTAACATAATAGAGCAAGAATATATGTAGATATTAATTTTCCCACAGATGCAGCGAATATTAAAGAGCGTGGTAATGGACAAAGAACAAAAAAAACATGGGTGTACTCCTCTAATTATGCATGTAGAGAGGGGTCCTGTCTCATGTAATAACCTACCTTGACTTTATTGTCCAGTTCATTCCAAAAGCAAGATAAAACACCCCTGCATTTTGCAGCAGGTAAAGGGGCAGTCTATGGAACAATGAGCATGTCTTCTTTCTGTTATATTGCCTTTGAAATATGAAACCATTAATTTGTTTCCAAGTTATGGTGCGGATCAATACCTGTCAGAGGTCTACAAGACCATCAGCGATACACAGGCTTTAATGAAGGAGATCTTCACGGAATGACTCTCTCCCCTGGCACAAAAAACGGACATGATAAAGTAGTTCAACTCTTCTGAAGAAAGGTGCATTATTTCTCAGGTGAGGATATTGATTGGAATATTTATATATTCCTGTTTAATTACATTCAGGCTTATTTTCCATTATATCTTAATTTTGATATCTATTAAACCTGTATATCCACAATACTTTATCCATCTTAATTTAATACTCAAATATATATTATACTCTCAAACATTGAAACAGTATCAGTATTATTCCCCAGTTGACCAAATGAATTTATAGGGTGTGAAGAGTCTTATTCAAGATCACAGAAAAGTGCTATTGTACAGATGTTTCTCAGAATCTTTTGAAACATCCATCATCATACATTTTACTTCATCATGCTCCACCTTCCTATGTAAATACAGACTGTGGCGTGTGTGGTGTGTGTGTGTGTTTTACAGTGTGAGCATACACACCACAAACCGTGCGAGTTCAAATATCCTATACTTTATTCAATCTAATGAATCATGGACATAGGACATAAAAAAGCTCCCTTCGTCTGTGACAACAGGAGACATTGCAACATTCCGCACCCCGACTTTATTATGCTTAGAAGAAACTCTAATGAAAAAGAGAAACCAGTTAAAATATGCAAGCTTAATAAAAATACGTCATAATTAAACAGATCGTTTAACGGAAAAACTTAAACATTTTAGTAGATACACACACATCTAGCTTCTGATTTCCGGTGGTACAAAAGACTCAAATTGAATAAAATCAAATCTCTACCAAATCCCAGCTCGATTAAATGACTCCACAGGTTTAATTTCTTGAAAATATTAGTTAGCATAGCTCACTTAATACAAGTGAGTGAGAAATATTAAGTGAAGCTATGTTACTAGTATCTACAATTCTTATTATGTTTCCAGTTCCACAACTCAGTATTGCCTTAATTGATATGATATTGAAATCATGACTATTTCATCTATTTGAGAAATTTATTTAGTGCCTAGTATGTGCAAGCTTTTGTGTTGGATTGTGTCAGAGAGGGATGAAACAAGGCAAATGGATATGGTCCCTGGCATCTACAAACTTGTAATCTGGTGGAAGACAAGGACCTTATTTGCAAATCAGCAGTTTAGCTTTTTGACAATTGTTCTCACCCTTTAGGTCCTGACTGAGCATAGCAGTACTAATGTTAATTTGGAAGGAGAAAACGGAAACACAGCTGTGCTAATGGCATGCACCAAAGATAACAGTGAAGCACTGCAAATTTTGGTTTGTATATTAATCATATTTTTTGCATCCTTTATCTTTTCATGAATGCAGCAGGTATTATTGATATTTACAACAGTTCTTTTGTTTCTGTCCTTAGCAAAATATAAAATGTCTCAGAAGAATTCGTTCTCTATGGTTTTGTATATGTACATACCCCTTAAGTGGATCCGAGATTGCTTACAGAAGACTGACAGGAAAGCAGTGAAAGTGTGAGAAAATTGAAGTGAAAAGAAAATATAGGCAGGAAAAATTAAGATGAAGCTGGGGGTCAGGTTAGAATATAAAATATAAAGTATAATCTCATTAATGCCCTTGAAGTATGTGATGACATTAGTTTGCTAGGTTATCAAGATTGATATTTTTGTGTCTACATTGCCACCTTGTCTTTGGGAGATATAAAATGTCTCAATTTTGCAGTAGGCTAAGATTATAAAATAATCTTCTTGCCTAGATTTCACATCATATGAAGCAATCTATGTATTTTGACATAGGCACACTATAATGAAATGATCTGATAGAGCCACATAAATTCTTGTTCACCCTTGTGGTTTGGGATTTAACATGTATCATTGGACTTTGTTTTTTCTACTTTCTTTTCCTCCAGTTTAATAAAGGAGCTAAGACATGTAAACCAAATAAATGGGGATGCTTCCCTGTTCACCAGGCTGCATTTTCAGGTGCCAAAAAATGCATGGAAATAATACTGAAGTTTGGTGAGTAGGGGCCTTCCTACATCACATGCTATAAAGAAGCCTTTTCTGGTGGATGCTATTCAATATTTAATAACATGTACAAATGGGCTTTTTTTGTAAGTCTAAATGCCCTTTCTTTTAAAAATATTTCTTATTGTTTATTTTAAATGTTTGTTGTCTTGAATGTTGTTTTCTTCTGCAGGTGAAGAAAATGGATACAGCCGAAAGTCTCACATTAACTTTGTGAATAATGGGAAAGCCAGCCCGCTCCACATGGCCGTTCAAAGTGGAGACTTGGAAATGATCAAAATGTGCCTGGACAATGGTGCACTCATAGACTTGATGGAGGTAATTGCTTGTATTCTACAGGACACTTGTATTTTAAAATTGTCATAAATTATTTTCTAAGATGTTTTGTAGCTCTTTTACAGTTAATTTAGATTGAGAGTGCATATAAGAGATATCATTTCCTTCTGTTCATATAGAAGCAGAACAAGAGAAAATTTCAACTCTCAAATTTCAGTTTATGTAAGGAATATTGAGAGTTACTAAAAACAATTGCAGACACAAATATAGATACAACAAAGATCATATATACAGTTTAACTGCCATTAAGTGAGTTAAAGTCAACCCTCAGAAGATGATAATATGTTAATGTTGTCAGCCAGAAACATTAAGGCCCAATCATGAATGTCACTGGTTATAGTTCTTTTCTGAAGAGTTGTCATCTTTTAAACTAAGGGCCACTTAACTAATTTCTAAGGGTATGTATGTGAAAGTATTGACTGTGCTTGGGATGTGACCTTATGTTAGGCCTTTCTGACCAAAAGTGTAGAGTTCTGGCCCTTTTCCCTGAGTTTTGGGTGGCAGCATGCTCCCCGCCAAAGTCCTGTGCTTTCTGGAGGAAGAGGGGATTGGTTATTAATCTTGTGTGGCTTCTGGACACTGCTCCTAGGTGCCTTCAATATAGAAAAGAAGAGCCGCCACTGTTGGTATGGGGTCTGAAGTCACGTTATACACTGGGTGTCCTAGAGCAATGAATGAGACATGGTCCTCATACTCCTAGGAGGAAGAATGGCATCCCGATGATGATGGTGGAAGTACATGCGAAGAGCTGTCAGATTCCAAGGACGCCCAATTGCTATCTGTGATATTTATACTGATGCTTTTCAATAGATGAGACGGATCACTGTTGATCATTTGAAATGTGATAGATATTCCTTGATTTTATTAACCTATGAAGGCAAAATTCATAGCTGAATATAAGCTATATTCTTAGATCGGGATTGAAACATTGATTCTGGTATCAAAATTCTTTACAGAACGGGAGGTGTATGGCCCTTCATTTTGCTGCCACCCAGGGAGCCACTGAGATTGTTAAACTGATGATATCATCCTATTCTGGTAGCACCGATATTGTTAATGCAGTTGATGGAAATCAGGAGACCCTGCTTCACAGGCAAGTTTCCTACCTATCATTCTGTATACAGATTTTCAGTCTGTTTAGTCTTCTCATGTTAAATTATAGATTGCAAGAAAAAGTCAGCACTCACGCTAGCAAAGATTCCATTCAAAAGAAAAGAACAGAGATAACAAAGACCCTGTGGTTCAACTGGAATCTCTTGTGTTCCTTGGGAATTAGAGTAGAATGTTATTAATAATTAAGTTTCACAGAATGAAATCCTCAGTGGCGTATTCTGGATCAGCTCTTAGTCCAGTGGATATAGACTCAAGATTAATTTTCTGTATGCTAAGGAAGTCAACATACAAGACTTTTCAAGCCCTTTCTAATATATTCCAATTCTTCATGTGTATCTTATCTCCACTTTTAGTGACAATAATAGAGCAGATATATATATGGATATTCCACCTTTCCCACCGTAGTTCCTTCTGCTAACTCCGCAATTATAGATAAATGGGTTCAAAACACATACTTTTAGGAAATTATAACCAAGTCACCAAACAAGAAAAATTTCTGTGGAGTTTTACAGAGATACATATCAGGGAAAGTGTCTCAAAGTGTAGGCTTACTAGATGCTAGGATAAGGCTGTGAGCAGGCTGGAAGCAAAACTACCTGCGGCAATAGGATATGCATGAATGGAGGGGAATTCTCACTTAGGATGAGTTGACAAATTAAAATTTTGTAGCATAAAGGAAAACTAATAAAAAACAACAAAGTCAACGAAAGGCTAATTTATTTCTAAGGAAATAGAAATAATAAAACAATTGGAAAAGAATTTTAAAATAAAGATATTTGAGACCTTCAAAAACTTAAAGGAAGGCTGGGCACAGTGGCTCATGCCTGTAATCCTAGCACTCTGGGAGGCTGAGGCGGGAGGATTGCTTGAGCTCAGGAGTTCAAGACCAGCCCCAGCAAGAAAGAGACCCTGTCTCTACAAAAAATAGAAAAAATTATCCAGGCATTGTGGCATGCACCTATAGTCCCAGCTACTTGAGAGGCTGAGGCAGGAGGATCACTGAGCCCAGGAGTTTGAGGTTGCTGTGAGCTACAATGACACCATTGCACTATACCGGTGCAACAGAGAGAGACTCTGTCTGGAAAGAAAAAAAAAAAAAAGAAGGAATAATCTGTTATGTAATAATAAATTGGCATGTATGAAGCCAGGACCAGGATTGGTGATATGAAAAAGATCCAGTTAGAAACCCTAAAAATAATTAGATAAGGAACAGTTGAAATAAAATAAAAACTCAATAGATAGACTCACCTCTAGACCAGAGATTCTCAAACTGCTGCATGTTAGAATCCCATTGCCAGTGAATACCACAGATTATATCAGCATCTTTGGAAGAAGTCTCAGGAATTTTTTAAAAACCTTTGATTCCAATGTTTAGCCAATTTGGAAACCCAATGACTTGGTTATAGTTAGAAATGTATTTTTAGAACACAGCCTTAATATATAAATATGCTTAAGAAGTAATTATTTCAGGAAAATGGGGCCTTAATGTTATAATGTATTTCCTAAAATTACTAAATATAATTAATATATTTTAAATATAATGCAACCTCTTGTGAATTTTTGGTGAGAATCAGCAAACTGATTCTGAAATTTATATACAAAGGGCCAAGAATAGCTGAGCTAATCTTAAAAGAAAGAAATGGGATTTGTAAGAGGAAACACATAAAGTTTTAAGTCGTTAGTATTAACATCTGTTATGGTGGTGTTTTTACTTGAAACTTTTGTTTCATTAATTATCCTTACGACTGTGAAATTATCCTTACGACTGTGATACCAAAATGACTTTAATTCTCTCCATAATGATTTTTGGCTTCATAAAAACTCAGGAAAGCTAATGGCGCCTTGTAAACTTTTGCCAGAGAGGGGCCCCCCAAAGAGGGAGCTTTTTGAACCCTGCAGGTGACTTTTAGGTCTACCTTGCATGCAGCTGTTGTTATTCCCCGTGATCTCGGTGATACCAGCCATTTCTTTTGTCTTTTGTATCTTGGGACAGATGTTATTGCTCACTTCAGAACCTCTTCATCATGATCATACAGGAGAAAATAGGTTTACTAAAAGATGAGGAAGAAAATTTTGTGATGTATTTGCTTTTTTAAAACATTCTTTATTTTTATTATAAATACGTAATAGTTGTACGTATTTACGGGGCACATGTGATATTTTGATACAAGCATATAATGTGTAATGATCAAATCATGGTAATTGGGGTATCCATCACTGCAAGCATTTATTATTTTTTTGTGTTAGGAACATTCTAATTCCACTCTTTTAATTATTTTGAAATCTATAATAAATTATCATTAACTATAGTTGCCCTATTGGGCTACTGAACACTAGGTCTTATTCCTTTTGTCTAACTATATTTCTGCACCGATTAGCCACCCCTCTTTATCACCCTCTCCTTCCCAGCCTCTGGTAACCATTATTCTACTCCCTGTCTCCATGAGATCTATTTTTCTTTCTAGCTCCCATCCATTAGTAAGAACATGTGATATTTATCTTTCTGTGCCTGGCTTATTTATTTCACTTAACATAAAAATGTCCTCCAGATTACTATTACTTTGAAAATATCACCCTAATCAGATTTAGTTATAAATTTTGAAAGGTTGCTATTAATAATTCACTAACATTTCATCATGTTATTCAATGAAGCGTTAAATTCACTTTATAAGTATCATGGCTTTATTTTATATATTTATATTTACATCCATAGTATTTTAATTATAATGTTTATAATTCTCTTTTTGTAGAGCCTCATTATTTGATCACCATGAACTAGCAGACTACTTAATTTCAGTGGTAACTATTCCATTTACTGGCTTATTTTTTATTACTATTTCTAGTTGAAAAACCAAGTAATTACATGCTATGGATTTTCAAACATAAAGCAAACTTTAATTTCTTGCTTATCAGCAAAAGAATCTTATAAAAGGATGATTGACACATTTACAAATAGAATATATTGTGTATGAATATGTAACAGCCAAACTTTATTACTGTGAAGTTAGAAGTGTACTTTGGATACCCATCTAAGTGCTTTTAGCATGGGGAGTTTGTGGCTGCATTGCAAGGCAAATTCTTCTGATGTCCTGTGAGTAGGTGCTACGGGACTGTGGGTTTGGGTGACTCTGCCAGGCTTCTTCACCCCTGGTGGCTTTGAGGTGGAGGCAGGATGGGCAGCATGTGGGCTGAGCTTCCACCCCAACTGCCTCAGCGCCACCTTCCAAACAATGAAAACCTGAGGAATTGAAAAATACTGTCCAAGGTTTGTTACAAGTGAAAGCAAAGATCGTTTTCACTTAAGAAATGGAATCAGTCAGCTTTTGAGTTAGATTTTAATAAGCTCTTTATTCAGATAAATATATGGTGGATTTATTTAAACCCTACCGTGTCAGCAAAGAATATATTTAATAGTTCCATTTGCATTATTGAACATGTGTATGTTGTCCATGGCAACTTACATAGAAGAATTCTGGAGAGACTCGTTGGATACCCTAGTTCATGCCATGCATGGTTTCCTGCAAAGGCAGCCATATCTTCAGCTGCCAAGAGAGAACTGTGGCAGAAACTCATGGACCACCACAGGGTGTGCAAAGCGGATGCCACTGCCATCATAGTTTATATTCAACAGGTCCCAAAAGAATAGGGAAATATCCACAGAGTTGAAGCTCTTTTTATTACTCTGTCCAAAGTATAGAATTCTTTCCAAGAAGTCTTAAAAAGCCTCTGATTTCTTCTCATATCAAGTATTATAACTATAATACATAATCATTAATATTGACTTATTCATTTTTAAAATATATTTATATACACATTTGTGATTTTTAAATTCAGATTTTTCTCAAATAAATGTGATACTAAAATTTTACTTTGGAATTTGAATGATTTCAATTCAGTTGTTTCAGTTTGTGTATTTCAGATGCAGCCAATTTTTTAAAAAGTGAATGGTTTCTGGTGAATGTTTGTTAAATCCCATATGCAATAAATGTGGAAGACTTTTAAAATTATTTAAAATTCATTTTTTACAGTGAGACTAAACTTCTAGGTCAAAAGATATTATTTTTATGGTTTATGTAATATTATATATAGCACAGCTATTGCCAGATGTCAGTAAAAAGCCTAACATGAGAATAATTTCATTGTTGAAATTAAAAAAGAATGCCTTGATTTCTGATGTTACAACACATACATTATAGGGACGTTTCAAGTAATTCTATAATTAATTTTATGTGTTAGTACTAGCTTTGATATAGACACTCTATCTCAATGAAATAACATTATTTAGAGATTGCAATGTAAGCTGATTTATCTGTTTGTAAGCTCTTTCTTAAATGACTTGTTTTATTTTAGGGAGCAGATATTAATAGTATCGATTGTGAAGGACGCTCTCCACTTATATTAGCAACTGCTTCTGCATCTTGGAATATTGTAAATTTGCTACTCTCTAAAGGTACCAAGGGGAACCAAGCCATGCCTTTGGGATTACCACTCAATTTGGTTAGATAAACATTTATTAACCATCTATTATGTGCTAGTACTGGGCCAGGTGCTATGAATACAAAGATAAACAGAACACTTTCTGTGTCTATAATAATTTTCAGTCCAGTAAGGGAGCAATATTTTAAAAGACAATTTCAGAACAACAACAGGTACATTTATAAAGTGTTTGTTATACCCCAGTCATTTTGCTGAACATCTTGTCAACTTTCTTTCAATGAATCAGTCCCATGTGGTGTAGGTATTGTAACTGTCCCCATTCTAGGTGCTACCTGGTGCTGTGATATTATAACAAAAAAGCAAGGTTTCCTTCTCTTATACCCTCCTTTCTTAATCTTGAATCCCTCCATATTTATATTTTATGCTTTAAAAGGTGAGGCCTCATATATTAATATCATGCGTCACATATTCTCTACTTACACCCACATAGAGTAAGATAAACCCATTTAAAAGATGTTTAGTTTTCTCATCTAAATAAAATTTCCTGAAAATTAGAGATTGTCAATGTTTTAATTGAAAAATTTTTATTAAGATGAAAATGCACCGTAGACCATGCTTTCAATAAATGATTAGAATTTATATTTGTATTGTGCTTTTTTTAGGTGCCCGTGTAGACATAAAAGATCATTATGGGCGTAATTTTTTGCATTTGACTGTACAGCAACCTTATGGATTAAAAAATTTGCGACCTGAGTTTATGCAGGTAATATATATATGTTGATTTTCATAAACTGAGTTGGGTTCAACAGAGAATAAATTGATATTGTTATTATATAATAATATTCCTTATTGTGAAAGCTGATTCTAGAATTTGAAAAATGTTTTAAAATAAAGATGACATAATTGAATATTTAGTTACAACATGATGGTGATGATGATGATAATAATAGCCACCAGCTATAATAAAGATACATCCTTAATTAGTTTGATTTCCTTCACTTTGACCATTATGGTTTGCACGTCAGTGGAAAAGCCAAGTATGTTAGTGAATTAGCAATTCTCCTCCATCAATTAAAAAAAATTACTCAGCATATTTGACTTGTTGACAGGTCAAAAGCATTATTTCCATATTTATATTCACCAGCTAATACTTATTGACTATCATGTGCATGTGAAGTACACCATATTTTCATAGTAAATAGATTTTAATATTGTCACTGTCTTTAATAATCAAGAATACATATATTTGAATATTTTAAACAAAACAACAAAATGTTGATTGGATTAAGCTACTCCTGCCATTCATTTTTTTTATTTAATATACATATAAAATATAATGTAAACCTAATTTTAATATCTCATTCATTTTGACTAACAACATATTAGCATTAAACTCTTGGATGTTATTGGTGGGGGGAATGAGAGGAGGCACAGAGGAGGGGCTGTGGTCCAATGTTTGGAAAATGCTGGATTAGGTACATTTTCCCACTTGCAGGATGTCTCAGAGGCTTTAATATGGTGAGATACATTTTAGGGAGACAGAGCATTCCACTCCATCCACATTCATTTTACTCTAGTAGGACCCTTTAGGTTATTTACATTTTGCTCCCAAGGAATACATATTGACCCTTGCTGGAAAATACTGTGTTGTGAAATAGTTTGAAAAACATCATATCAACATAATAGCGGAATTATATGTAGAATATTAATTTTTCCCACAGATGCAGCATATTAAAGAGCTGGTAATGGACGAAGACAACGATGGGTGTACTCCTCTACATTATGCATGTAGAGAGGGGGTCCCTGTCTCTGTAAATAACCTACTTGACTTTAATGTGTCCATTCATTCCAAAAGCAAAGATAAGAAATCACCCCTGCATTTTGCAGCCAGGTAAGGGGCAGTCTATGCAGCATATGAGCATGTCTTCTTTCTGTTTAATATTTGCTTTGAAAATATGAAACATAATTTTTTCCAAGTTATGGGCGGATCAATACCTGTCAGAGGCTCCTACAAGACATCAGCGATACAAGGCTTTTGAATGAAGGTGATCTTCACGGAATGACTCCTCTCCACCTGGCAGCAAAAAACGGACATGATAAAGTAGTTCAACTTCTTCTGAAAAAAGGTGCATTATTTCTCAGGTGAGGATATATGATTGGAATATTTATATATTCTGTTTAATTAGCCATTTCAGGCTATTTTCCATTATATCTTATATTTTGATATCTATTATAACTGTATATCTCACTAAGTACTTTTATCCATCTAATTTAATACTCAAAATATATATAACTTCTCAAACATTGAAACAGTAGTCAGTATTATTCCCAGTTGACAAATGAAGTTTATAGAGTTGAAGAGTCTTATTCAAGATCACAGAATAAGTGGCTTTGTACAGACTGTTTCTCAGAATCTTTGAAATCCAGCTCCTCATATTTTACTTCATCATGCTGCCACCTTCCTATGTAAATACAGACTGTGGCTGTGTGTGTGTGTGTGTGTGTGTGTGTGTGTACATGTAGACATACACACACAAAACCGTGCGAGTTCAAATATCCTACTTTTTATTCAATCTGATGAATCATGGACATAATGGACATAAAAAGCTCCCTTTCAGTGACAACAGGAGACATTAAAAATTCCTGCACTTTATTATGCTTAGAAGAACTCTAATGCAAGAAAGAAAACCAAGTTAAAATATGCAAGCTTAATAAAATACGTGGCATAATTAAACGACATTGTTGTGAACGGAAAAAACCTAGAAACATTTTATAGAGGTACACTGATCTGTCTTCTGATTTCACGGAGTTGGTAGCAAAGAGCTCATGATAAGTCTACTTTCTCCCATCCCCAGGTGTTTGGTAATGTAAACGCATGCAACATATGAGCATGTATATAAATATAAAAGTATATATAAATATGTGTGAATCACATTATGGATCGATCATTTGAGACCATTAAGCTTGAAATTAGCTCATTTATTATAAATGTATAATATTTAGTTGCCACATCTCAATTATGCTTTTTTTTTTTTTGTTATCAGACTTACGTAGAATGGGCCAAGTGACATCCTTCCCACATTTCGTCTGTACTGTGTATTCACACATCTTTTCTTAACTCTTTTCCAGTGACCACAATGGCTGGACTGCTTTGCACCACGCGGCCATGGGCGGGTACACCCAGACCATGAAGGTCATTCTTGATACTAATCTGAAGTGCACAGATCGGCTAGATGAAGAAGGGGTACGTGCCAGGGTCCTCATACTTACCGCAAATCTGGACACGGCAGAAACTTCCAAAGTGGCAGGAAAGCCGCCTTCTTAGCCCCCTTCTTCCCTTCCGTGCTCTATTCCCAGCCTTTTGTTGGTTTTTTAACAGGCAGACTCTTAGAGTGAGAAATGAGTAAAAGGGGAACAGAAATAGGAGAATACCAAGGGTGGGGGGTGTTGAGGACACCCCCAGTGTCACAGAGGCTGGCCCTCAGGCCATTGCTGTTCTGTGATAAAGTTTTAACTCACTGGTGAACCTGGAGAAATGAAGAGGGCAGCAGTGAGTTTTTATTAATATTATTTGGAAGTGTGTTGATTTGAAGGACCAACCTTTATTAGCTATTATGTCCTTCTTCCTTTTGTGGAGAGTAAGTATTCAAATGAACACTCGTTCATGAAATGATGGAGATAGAAAATTGTTGTTGCTTTAAAAAAGGTCTTTACATGGCAAAACTTAAAAATTGGCAAGCTTATAATATTTTCTGATTTTTTAAAAAAATTTTACAAGCACCTGAAACCCTGAATCTGTAAGCCACTGCTCTTCTAGGCGATAAATCTCCCAGGAGTACTTCTTTGTTCACTTTACCATCCTCACCCTGAAAGCAAAACAACCCCTGGAATTCACGGCCCCACCTCCCATACTACCACACGCCATGTTTCAACTGTAAACTCATGATTCTGAACACTGGTTTTACATTTTAGGTGTTTTGGTGTTGAATAGTCAGGGTCGTTGATAATTTCTTTTAAGCACTTCAACAATGAGACAAGGCAGTGAAATGGCCCACGGCTCATCACGCATTGTCTCCACGTTTCTGTGTCTGCTTTCTCTCAAAGAACACGGCGCTTCACTTTGCTGCCAGGGAAGGCCAGGCCAAAGCCGTCGGGCTGCTTCTGAGCCGCGATGCTGACATAGTCCTGAACAAGCAGCAGGCCTCGTTTTTGCACCTCGCGCTCCACAATAAGCGGAAGGAGGTGGTTCTTACAGCCATCAGGACCAAAAGGTACCCGTCTTCCTGTCCACTGTCATTTAGTGTTTTCTGGCATCAGGGATGATCCACAGCCAGAGAGGAAACAAGAAAGAGAGAGAAAAGGAATAAGTTTCAGTCATTAAACAACCTTTTAAAATGTCAGTTGTCTACGTAAATTTTTAAATGAACTTTTTGGGTGACGACAGGCACGTGGCTTAACCTCTCTGGTCTTCGTAGGGGAGTTGCTGCTAAGACCAGCCTTAGCAGCACTCTTGTCAGACTCGAGGGGTTCAGGCATGTGGACTGTCTGGAACCCTGTCATTGTCAAGCAAATGCTGGCTTGCCCTACCCGAACTTGCCCAACACTCTTTGCCAACAGAAACCCTCAAACTGGATGCTGGCAAAAATATACCCCAAGGTAAATCCATGTTTATGCCATGTAATGGAGCATCTCTGTAAGACATGATCTTTTGTGGTTGTGGTTTCTAAACCATACTCCAGGGAGTTCTAATGATGTAGTTCAAGGATAGTTTGTCTCACTTCTCGGACGTAAACTTTTCTGTATAGTCAGATGGGTACGCACGAGAGCTAAGTTTTTTTGCCCAGTATCGGATATACAGGTGAACGATCTCATATTCAAGGCAGGTTAAGCCTGTGTTTTTGAGGATGGGCAGTCTCGAAAATCTGCTGACCATTCCTTAGAAATACCAGTTAATGAAAGTGTGCAACCAGAAGTCTTCTGATGGTAATGCAGATATTCTAGATGGATTTGACTGATAGGGTTAACGGAAAATTTGCTAGGATCTTGGAGATAAATGGGCTCTTCTTGACTTCCTGTTGTAGACTTAGTTCCTCCTTGGTGTTGTAAGTACCTCCTTAACCCATCTAATTATTAATAGATGGTGATAAAGAAAGGGGCAAACTCTAATGTTCTGGCAGAGTCTATGCTTATCGACGTACTTGATGCGTGTTCGTTTGTAGTTCACTCAATCTGAGATGTATACATGAATGTTAACTGTTAAATATGGGCACAGTACTAGGTTGCTGATGTATATATGTAAACGTAGATGTCTCTTATGACATAATCAGCTCTGGAAGTACTTACTGTTTCATGGCTTGAAGAGAAAAGGAAGATATAGGCTTGACTTCTTTAGGAGGCATTTAGAGAGGCAGAACAGTGCTCATAGCCATCCTGGAATTTGTCCACATTCCTAATTTCTATTAATGGACAAGGATCCTATTAATAAAATGATCTTGGTTCATGTATTGGTTCCATTGGAACCAATGGGTAAGCATTGCATTTCATGAATCAACTTAAAGTTTCTTCTAAATATATAATCTTGAGTTTCAACTGTTTTGCAGAACATATGGATTAAGAATTATGCTTGTCTTTTATATTTTTTTTATAGATGGGATGAATGTCTTAAAGTTTTTAGTCATCATTCTTCAAGCAACAAATGTCCGATCACGGAAATGATAGAATACCTTCCTGAATGCATGAAAGTAAGTTCTCTAAAACAAAACTCTTTCTGGGTATATACTTGGCCTATATTATGATGTGAGAATTTATTGTTATAATCACAACCTAATAATAATAATTCTGTCTTCAAATAAAGTTTCTAGCTTTCCATAGGCTATATGAGAAATTAGTCAATAAGTATTTAATGGGGACTTACTTGGATTAAAGAATCCTATCAGTTATTATATGTAATCTAAGAAAATGTGATAAACAGATTTTTTAAATTCAAACAATCCCGTGTCCAGAGGAGAACCTACAAACTGGTGTTTTTCTGGCTGAATAAAGCCCTTAGATATGTTTTTGTTTGGAATGCATGTCATTGTTTCAAATTTGCATTAATTGCTAACATTTAAAACCAGGATGCTTTCCTTCAGGATCCAGATATCTGGCTTCCCTTAAATATGAGATCTGGTAGCCGGGCCTGCCTTCTGATAAGGCAGGAGTTGCTGAGCAGAGTAGCAGCTGCTTCCCATGGATGGGACAAGCACTCTCCCGCTAGACACACCGCCCCCTCTCCCTTTTGTGTACTTGGCTCCAATGCCTAGTACTAGTTGTCACTTGTCATTCCTGTGCAATTGCTTTCCGTATAGTAGACAGATATTTCTTGATAAATGGCTCTATCCCAACTGTGAAGATAAAAGCCAACCCAAATCCAAGGAGAGCATATGTTTCACTAACAATGGAAGAAAACTCTTATGCCTGGCATGGTTCATTCATTGCTATTACTTGCATGGCCTCTGTGGGCCCTTGAATGTGTGACACCCTGTTCTGCGTTAAATACATACCCAGCATGTGACTGGTTGCCCACTATAAGACAAACATGCACAGACGGTTGAGTACCTGAGTGTTAAAGGATGCAAATAAAAGACCTCCTGAAAAAGTTGGGATTTTGAGGATTGGGGCAGACATAGAATAGTCAAGAAAAGCAGAATGACTTAAAATGTCATTAAAAGGGAAAAATACATTTAAACACTGGAGCAGTAAGACATAGTGACACAGGGGATAGAGGACTAGATTTGGAGCCCGGAGGCCCTGGGATTTAATCCTGACTATGCCTTTTGCTGTGCTACTTTGGATGAGTCATTCTACCTCTCTGAGCTTCATTTTCTATTTTCTTTATCTCTGAGAAAGTGATGCTGATAATGATCTTGAAAAGTGATTACACAAAATAGAGGTAAAATATATAAAGTACTCAGGATAATGGTTGGCACATAACGTACCTTGTACTATTTTTATACTGCTTATGTGGCTACTAGTACTACAGCTACTAGCACTCATTGTTTTTATTTTTTGAATAAGTACTATGTGTTAAATATTTTATGTGCATTTTTTTTCTTTATGATGTCTAATGAAAATTGGTTCTAGTCTAGTGGCACAAATAGCATACAGATTAACTTTTTAGGTGACAAAATCTCATCAAAGGGCACATAAATATTCAGGGTTGAGAACCTGCACCTCAGACTTTCTTACCTGGTAATTATAGTTGTTATAATCTGTTCTAATGAATTTCCTGCAGCATTACTTATAATTGTAAAAATATATATGTTAGAATATTGACATATGGAAAACATAATAAGGAGTTGAAGAAATTATACCAAAAGAATCTTAAGAATGATCTGTTATGGGATCATGATTGGCTTTTTTTCCTTCTTTATGCTACTGTATTTTCTAGTTAGTTTTCTATAATGACATATCATTTTTGTGTTATTTTTTTCAATAAAATAAGGGAATCTAAAGGTCTTTTAGTTTAGCCTCACATCACATAGTTGATGCTTATATAACATTTCTGAAAAGTTGCTTTTACAGCCCCAACCCCACACAAGGCAGCCCATCTTTTCTTTTTCCTGATTATTAAAACTGTAGCAACCAGACTTCGTCTGGTCCTGCCTTGCACAGCACTACCGACTGGTCTTGGCTTTATTTTTCATTATGTCTGTTATACCTCCCAATACTGCCATCTGGTCACCAACAAGGACTTTTCTTAAAATATTCTAAGTCCCTCTGGTACCCAAGATAGGTCAGGTCCCCGTTTCTTCCATTCAGGCACAGTCTAACCCTCTACCCTCCAGTTCGGCAGGTGGGGTTGACCAGATGTCTCAGGAACTCCTGGATACGTTGATGGGGCCATCTGGGGCCTTGTGTCCCACTCTGGTCCCAAGAAGGCAGCCAGGCTAGAGAGTATGTCTTTCTCAGGATCACAGATTTAGGCTACCAGATTTGGGCTGTCTCTCATTGTTTATGTACACAGGGACCCCATAAAAATGTATCTCTACACACTGTAGGCAGCACTCTAATGACCCCATAAGTGTTCTTTCCCTGAGTTAAACATCTAGAGGGTCTTCATTTCTTGTTATGACATCTATTCCCCACTATCCTGTCTGAATCCCCTCTGAACACATACTCTCTCTGTGTTGGTTGGTGAGCGAGGAAGAGAAGCAAACACAGTACTCCAGACTGGAGCAGCACAGAAGATGGGGACCTAAACCATAGAAAGAACCCAGTGCTGGGATGAAAGGTCTCGGTTAGGGACAATACATTTTAACTGTAAGATAGTGAGCACAGGAACCCTTAATGCAGATTGAGTATTCCTTATCCAAAATGTTTGGGACCAGAAGTGTTTGGATTCTTTTGGATTTGGGAATATTTGCATATATATAATGATATATTTGGGGGATGGGATCTGAGTCTAAATATGAAATACATTTATGTTTCATACATACCTTACACACATAGCCTGAAGGTAGTTTTCTGTAACATTTTTAATAATTTCGTGCATGCAACAAAGTTTGTGCTTAGTACTTATGCGTAGAATTTTCCACTTACGGCATCTTGTTGGTGCTCAAAAAATTTTGGATTTTGGAGCATTTCAGATTTTCTGACTAGAAAATCTATATATTCTCTAGAAGCCCAGAAAGACATCAAATCATAGGCAAAACTAGTGGAATATCTCTTACCCAAATTTTAGTATGTACAATTCCATTCTCAAGCACATGGTACATTTCTGAATTAGCTGATATTTCTGAGGTATGCAGAAGTATTTGTAACACTTTGTATTTGAAACTTTGTTCCTTGAATGACATAGGTTAGAGTTTGTCCTTGAGGTTTAAGAAGCAAAGTAATGGAAGGAAAATACCTTATGTGTTATCTTAGCAATGGGATAAAACCCTCTCTCATATATAGCGTGCTGCCCTACCCAGATGTCTTAGCTGTTTTTTTGTTTTTTTTTTCTCTCGGAGGTTCTTTTAGATTTCTGCATGTTGCATTCCACAGAGGACAAGTCCTGTCTAGACTACCATGTGAGTTTATTTTATCATGATAATTTGAAATTTATTTTTTTATAATTCTCCCAAGGACTATTAAAAATATTGTTCCTTTAGTTCTACAGTCTATTGTCAATGGTAAATATTGGTTTCATCTGTCATATTATTATATTATCTAATTGTAAGAAAAATTTTCCCTCACATCTTTGTTTTTCCCCTGATATTTTAATTGTGTCTAATAGCATTATTTAGTGTTGTTTTTAGTCTTTATATCTTCTGAGGTAGTTTTGCCAGAAGAACGAAGGTCTAAAATATCTAAATGATCCTTTGAGAATTCCTCTTTTTCCATGCCTATGAGTTGTAAAGCAATTGCATAACAACTTTCCAGCATATTTATTTTTGTAATTAATATGCAAGAATTTAATTTTCTTTTCTCCACTTGAAATGACTCAGCTTTTTTCAAATCACTTAATTTTCAGCAGAATTGTAAGCTTAGATATTTGATTTGTCAGTTACTACTTTTTGGAGTCTATACTAAGCTAACTAATTTCTTTTAAAATTTATGTCTTCTACAGATTGAATATAATTTCAAATATCTTCAATGTCCATTAGAATTCACCAAAAAAGGAAGACCTACACAGAATGTTGTATACGAGCCTCTTACAGCCCTAAATGTAAGTCCAGTGTTCTCATCCTCCAGGCACTTTCCACCTGGGTTCTCAAATATTTTGGTACAAGCTCACATTTGGTAGAAATGGAAGGGGCCTGGAGAGAATTCTGGTTTTATAGTTCCATGTCTGTGTCTGCCATGTGTCCCGGCCCTTTTTTATTAAAGTAAGCAGTGTTTTTTGTTGTTTTTTTTTGTTTTTTTTTTTACAATTGCTGTAATTTAAAGTTCTACACTTCAGTTCTAATGGTCATGTAAGACCTGCCCCAATCCAGAATCAAATAGACCATGGATGATACAGTCAGTACTTGCTCCACACCTCTACCCACCTATATAGTCAAGAGTTTCCTCCAGTGTAAACCATAGGAAAATGCAGGGGTTGAAATTTTACAGCCTCAGCTTCCAAATTCAATCAGCTGCTGGGCTCCAAGGTAAAGTCTGACCATTCAGAAGCTCTTGGCTCCATCCAGAGGGATGAACCAAATCTAAAGAAGGCTCTGAACATATAGCATGGACCTGAATTTCCTGAGACTTGCTCCAAACCGGCTCTTATTTCAAAGAGTGCTTTTGAAACCAATGAAGCAATGAAGGCCATGCATATGATCTACTTAAGTCAAATAAAGGGTCTCATACTCAAATAAATAACTGCAGAGAAAACAGACAACACATGAGTAACATAGGCTCCTGGTTATAAGGAGAGTGGCCACTAGTTTCAACAAATTGTTGCCATGTGGCTATAACTGCCCACACTTGTGTAAAAATCGACAAATTAAAATTGTGTGCATGCAAAATAAAACATCTTTGAGGATTAGATCTGAAAATTATTTCAAGTGCTCAGTAGCTCCTGTGGTTTGTGGCTCTCATTATTGGACAGGACAGATATAAGACATTTCTATCACAGTAGAAAGTTCTATTGGACAACCCTGATCTAGGCCAATGAGGAATTTTCATTTACCTTAAATGAGTTTATTTGCCTACATTGAAGCCTTTTGTACAGACCATGGTACCAACTGCCACATAAAGTGAAATTTACAGGCTTACTGGGCACTTGGAGTGTGAAGGTTGCAGACTCATGTGGATTTTCTGCACTCAACACTGGTGATGGCAACGGACCATCATGCAAAGGATTTTAGCTCTACAGAGCCTTTATTTTTGGAGGATAGTTTTACTAGTTATAGTATTCTTGGTTAGTAGTTTATTTTCTTTCAGCACTTTGAATATATCATCTCATTCTCTTTTAGCCTGCCAGGTTTCTGCTGAGATATTTACTGATAATATTATTAAAGCTCCTTTGTAGGTAATGAGTTGCTTTTCTCTTGCTGATTTCAAGATTCTCTTTTTATCTGTGACTTACAATAGTTTAATTATAATGTGTTTCAGAGTAGGTCTCTTTGGAGCAATTTGTGATAATTGAAGTTACTTGAGCTTCTTGAATGATTGTATCCATTTCTCTTCTCAGATTTCGGAAATATTCAGATGATTATTTTGTCAAATAGGCTATTTAACCCTCTCCTTCTTTTTTCTCCTTTAGGATATCCATAAATGCATATTTTGTTCTGCTTGATCATGTCCCTTAAATCCCATAGGTTTTCCTCAGTTTTCTTTATTCTTTTTGCTTTTCTGACTCGGTGCTTTCACACATACTGTCTTTGAGTTCACTCATTCTTTGTTCTGCTTGGTCAGAACTGCTGTCAGGTGGCTATTGAACTCCTCTAGTGAAATTTTTCAACTCAATTATTGTATTCTTCAGTTACAGAATTTCTGTTTGCTTCTTTTTTATAGTTTTTATCTCTTTGTTGATATTTTAATTTTGTTCATGCATGGTTTTCCTGATTTTGTTTAGTTTTCTATCTGTTCTTTTTTAGTTAATTAAGCATCTTTATGATGGTCGTTTTCTGTTAATTGTCTGATAATCCATATATCTCTGTTTCTTTAGAGTTCAATTTTTGAGATTTAATTTGTTCCTTTGCTTGGGTTATGTTTTTATGTTTCTTTGTATGACTTGTTATCATTTGTTGGAGCTTGGCTTTTGGAAAAAAACAAAACAAAACAGTCACATCTCCCGGTGTTTACAGTCTTACTTTGTATAAGTAGGTCCCTCATCGATCAGCCTAGCTAGATTCTGGAAAACTCTTAAGCCTTTTCTAGAGATTCATATTGTCTGGGCATGTGAATGTAATTTCAAAGTTGAAGAGATGTGCCTTCCCCCTGGGACTTCCCCCTGATGTATGTTTGCGGTATTGTAGCCTCTCTGATGCTATAGCAAGCCATGATATTAGAGCACAGTCTAGTGTCTGTGATACTGCAGCTTCTCTGGTACTAGACCAAGCCCCTGTGACCTACTTTGTTTTCAATGGCCCTCTCCTGGTGCCTGTTCCTGTCAGCACTTAGCTTCAGGCAAGATAGAACTCATTCCCTTGGGCAGTCCTCCAAAAGTTCCACTCTTCTGTTTCTCTCCCCAAGGAGAAGCCAAGAGTTGGGAGTTTTCCCCCAATGGCATTGTGCTGTGCCAGAGGGAAGAGCTGTGATGACTAAATGTCATGAATTTCCCTACTGTTTTTGATTTGGTACTTTTTGGCTACATGCTCATCTGGGGTGCAAGAACCTTTTAACTGGGTTCTGGATTGCTCACAATGCAAATTAGTTTGTATATTGTTGTTATAATCATTTGGTGTCTCTGTTGGAGGAAGGAGGGTGGAGCTTCCTGGGGCAGCAAGATTCAGCCATCTTGCTGACATCAGTCCCTCTATTTATGTATTTCTTGAATAATTAAAATTTAATTTTTAAATAGATACTAGTAATTCCTAATAACTCTCATGAAAACTTATGATCTACAGATTAACTTAACTACTATTTAAGTGTATTCTACGATTTAAAATCCTTCTAGAAAGATAAGCCTGAATTTCTTGAGGAAAGAATAAAGGTGTAACTCTTGGTGATTTATCTTTAATGTTCTTTCCTATTGTAATCCTATATAAGATTTAGAAGCTTATACTATCTCAATCAATCAGAGATCAAAAGAAACAGACAGAATCAAATAATTGCCCTGTATAATGGTTCTCTCTAGCTGTGTTTTTTTTTCAATCTTATGTCATTTTTAATTTTTTCAAATTTTCTAAAATAAGCAAGTGTTACTTTTATAATATCAAAATTAAGTTATAAAACCATAAAATACAAAGCTTAGTTTATATCTGGTGGTTTAATATGATTGTAATTTTATCGCTCTTCCCTTATTTTTCAGGCAATGGTACAATATAACCGCATAGAGCTTCTCAATCATCCTGTGTGTAAAGAATACTTACTTATGAAATGGTATGTACTGAGTAGTATTTCTTTTTCTAATGTTGTTCCTATTGAATCTATTAAGTCTTCTAAACAATTATGTTCTAATTGTATTTTAATGTTTTAAATTTTGTTATTTTAATGTTTTATACTTGGAAAAAATATCAAAGGCAAGTTTTGGTATTGAAAATGCTGACATTGTTTATCTTTGACATTAAATAAAATATTTGGGGAGTGAGAGGGAATCATTATATAAAACTTGAAGAAGTATCCTGGACCCTACAATTTATTGGCAATGAAATAAGAGGTATGTTCTAGGGAAGAACACTTAACCTTTGAGTCAAGTCATATGGGCTTAAATTCTCTGCTCTTCTATTAATTGGTAAGCCATGGTTTGCTTAGAAGTTGAGATTCCTTCTTAGAAAATGAAAAAGTTGAATTAGAAAGTTCTCTTGGTTCTAAAGTTCAGTGAATTTACCAAATAGAGTCCTGAAAGAGATTATAACTACTTTTTCCATAGGTATCTTAAGCAAATATTTTTTTATTTATAGTTTTGTTTTTTTCCTTTTATCTTGTTTTTGTGTTTTTAAAAAATTCTTTGTTTTTACAAACCATTGAGTTGAGGGCTTTCAATAGATAGTAGGAAGGTAGTTTCTCTGCTATGTACAGAACCCCCACCCAGAAGCAGGTTGTCTACGAATGGTTGAGCACCAGGTCCCCCGCAAACATGCCTTGCATGAGGGGCAAGGGTGTGGTCCCCTTCTGGCCAAACCCCATTTTCCAGGACAAAGGGCTCTCCAAACCACACCCCAGTCCCAGTGTGTGGGGGGACATGCCACACACACGGGGGTTTGTGCTGTGACTTGCTGGTGGAGACAGTGAATAACCAGCTCTCCAAGGCCAATTTTTGTTTGAAATGACTCAATTATGGTTTGCTTATTTGTTTTTGTAGGGTGGCTTATGGATTTAGAGCCCATATGATGAACCTAGGATCTTACTGTCTTGGTCTCATACCTATGACTCTTCTTGTTGTCAATATAAAGCCAGGAATGGCTTTCAACTCAACTGGAATCATCAATGAAACTAGCGATCATTTGGAAATATTAGACACCACGGTATTTTCAAACTTCAACTTTTTAAAATAAGAGAATATTTTTAAAATATTTGTTCTTAAGAATCCTAAGTCAATAATAAATCTGAAATATCAGGACATTGATTATTATAAATATCCTATAGAATTCATATATGGTACCAATTTCTCCAAAAAAAAATACTTTGTGAAATGAGAGGAAGTAAAAATAAATAGGTTAATAAGTGAGTGTGTAAACAAATTTAAAAGGCATTGACATTTGTGAGATGCTAGCTGGAAGGCCAAAGTGTAAAACTGCAAAATAGGTCTACAGGGAAGCAGATTTGTGGTTGCCAAGGACTGCAGGGAGTGGGCGGGCATGGGGTTTCCATTTGGAATGATGAAAAAGTAATAGAAGTAGATAGTGGTGATGGCTGCAGAACATTGTATTTAATGTTACTGAATTATACATTTTAAAGTGTAAATGTACATATAAAAGATAAAACTTTTAAAATGGCAAATTTTATGTCATGTGTATTTTACCACAATTTAAAAATTTTATATAGGTCTACAGATTCATATTCCTTTAGAATCTGTAGACCTAAATCAATTTTTGAACTCTTAATAAGGACATTATGAAATGAGTATGTGTCATCTCTACTAAATGAGATGAGTATTAACATCACAATAATTTTCAGTTTAACTCAAATGTACATAGAAATGAAGCACTCCCAAATAAATATTTAATAGTAGAAATTATGAAGAAGTTAAAGTGTTTTATTTTATATCCCTAATAACTACTTGTCTTACCCTTTTTTTGTTTTAGAATTCATATCCAATAAAAGTTTGTATGATTTTAGTGTTTTTATCAAGTTTATTTGGGTATTTCAAAGAAGTGGCCCAGATTTTCCAACAGGTATGTAATACATTCTGTATCTCTAAAGTTGCAAATAGTTTAACATAAATTAAATAATAAACTATTATTTGACATTTTATTTTATATTTTTAACAAATTATTATTTATGTTAAAATTTTATACTTTAACATAAATTTAACTGATAAGCTATTTTTGAAATAATATGAAATAATATTATGTCATAATAAAATCACATAGCTTGGCTAATGTATAGATTAGAAATATCAAGGGTAAGCTTTTCAAAATGTAGAAATAACATGATTTTAGGTAAAATCACTGTCTGATATATCCATAAAAGAGATGTTCCACTTTTACTGGTCCATATGGATCTGTCTGGCAACATATGATCATTATGAATGACTATTCTGTGTTTTCTCTTGCATCATTTTTAATATTTTGCTAACATAATAGATTTTGAATTTGATAATTTTAAATGTAAATGTTTATAAAGAATTTATCTGGCTGACTCCATTTTCAATGGGTCTGTCTTTGAATTTCTTTTTTAACAGGAATGCTTTTCTTTATTAAATAAAGTTCCAAGTTATAATACAATTTTGGAACTTGTTATAAAATAATTTTTAGTTTATACTCTATTTTTTAAATGTTTGAACCAAGTTCATATCCGACCCAAGAATTATATAAATTATCTGTAGGTCTTTGGTTTTGTTGATAAATGACATAGATCCTTCCTCAGTGTGAAGGTTTACAGGCTTTTATTATTTGTTTTTGTATATTTTTGTAAATGTTATTATATGCCATATGCCTCTTATACAACATCTCATTTTCTATGAAAATTTTCTGTGTTACATCATGTAAGCACATGGATATTTGCAGTAAATAATTTGATGGTAATAATAATGCTTTGCATTTATTTAATATTGTATTTTACAAGTGCTTTCATATATATACTTTAAGTATTAATAAATTATCCCAATTCTGAGAGTTAGACTATGTTGTTCCATTTTATCTTAAATGATTTAGGGCATATTACTGAATCTCTCTTGCCATTATTTTCATTTTTCCCAAAATAAAAATTATAGATTACAGTTTAAATCGAACTATAAAGTTGTATGAATTCTGTGTCAAATTTGATCTCCACATTTTCTTCTTGCTATTTAAGTGGTCTACTCTATGGGAAATTTAATGTCCAAAACATGAAATCTTTAGGAACACCATTATGATTTGTTCTCATTTCTTAATTAAGTCTCAGAAGAGGTCTCAAACTTCCTTAGAAACAGCTGTAGTTCAGGTATCCTGAGAACTCCACATGCATGTCCTTATACAGATAAAAGGTCCCAGGGATTACCAAACCAGCTTGCAGTCCCCATAAGTTTCCTTAAGATGGAGTGGACTGTACAGGAAAAGCCCAGCAACTTGTAGGATGTCCTTAGACATCAGACTCCCGTAGTACCAGGTTAACAGATGACTCTGGGCCACCTCCAACACTGGTCTGTACCCCAGGGGCTCTGAAGTCAATGCAAGATGGTAGGAAGTGACTCCTTGGTCCTAAACTTCTCTCCTGATGCCTGTAATTTCAGAAAAATTTTGTTACTGGTTACATATGTATAACCACCCGTAAGATGCCAGGTCTCTTATATGTGGTCATTTTTCATTCTTTTCAATCCCAGAAAAGTAATTACTTTCGTGATATTAATAATCTCCTTGAATGGATTATCTACACAACAAGCATCATTTTTGTGCTGCCCTTGTTTTCTAACATACCAGCTTTTATGCAGTGGCAATGTGGAGCAATTGCTATATACTTATACTGGATGAACTTCTTGTTGTATCTTCAAAGGTAAAACCAGCTTGAATGATTTCTACATCTTTTAAGCATTTTTAAATCAAGAGAAAAACTCACCTAAGTGGACATATAGGAGTAACATTTATCGGGTGTCGGGAGGGTGGGAGGGGGGAGAAGGGGATGGGTATACACAACCACAACGAGTAAGATGTGCAACGTTTGGGGGATAGACACACTTGAAGCTCTTACTTGAGGCAGGAGGGGGGCATGGGCAATATATGTAACCTTAACACTTGTACCCCCATAATATGCTAAAATAAAAAAAAGAGAGAGAAAACTATTATAAGTGGCTTCGTTTTCCAATGGTTTTAAAATATGAAGATATTTGTTATATCCTATTAAGGAAAGATGTGGGGGGTTCTTGAGTTTAGGGTGGAGACCAGGGTTTCCCAACTTTGGCACTATTGAAATTTGAGGCCAGATAATTCTTTTTATTATGTGGGGGGACTGTCTTGTGTATTGTAAAATGTTTAACAGCCTTCCTGGATTTTACCTACTCGGTGCCAGTAGCATACATACCACCCCAGTTGTAACAACCAAAAATATATCCAGACATTACCAAATGTCTCCTGGTGCCAAATAAACCCAGGTCAAGAACAACTAACTGGTCTAGATAAATCTAGATTAAAATCGAAGAATTAAGTAGGAATAAAAGTGTTGGCTATTCTTGTTTTACCTGATACTATTTTGTAAGCATCTACTTTGTGTTAAAATACTCAAAAGAAACTCATAGCATGGGGAATAAAAGTGGTATAAAAAGCAAAAAAATAAGCCCAAAGAATCTAATTTTAGAGAGGGAAAAAAGAGACTGAGTTGCTCTACCTCTGACAGTTGCTAATGTTGAGTTAAATGTTATTTCATACAATCTTTACAATAATAGGAGGCAAAAATGACTCAAGGAAGCTGAAGCACTTAGTTAAGTAACTTTCTTAAGATTTTAGCTTGTCACTCAAGACATAGGTATTTAACCAAAGTCTTTCTGACTCCAACGATCATGCTTTTCCCACTGTACCATGTGCGTTGCTGTGTCATAAGCACAGTGACACAGAGGTGACCCTGGCCTCTCAGGGCCTGGTATGTGGGAAGGGCAGCAACCCAGAAGTCAAGAGGATTCAAGACAGGTTCATTATCAA